TCCCCCGGGACTCCAACCCAGAACCCTCTGGTCCTGGTTCCCCCGGGGACTCCAACCCAGAACCCTCTGGTTCCCCCGGGACTCCAACCCAGAACCCTCTGGTCCTGGTTCCCCCGGGACTCCAACCCAGAACCCTCTGGTCCTGGTTCCCCCGGGACTCCAACCCAGAACCCTCTGGTCCTGGTTCCCCTGGGACTCCAACCCAGAACCCTCTGGTTCTGGTTCCCCCGGGGACTCCGACCCAGAACCCTCTGGTCCTGGTGTTAAACCACCTGCTACCGGATATGTGCTCATTGGTTATTTATGGCACTTCCTGCTCCGGCTGTAAGGTGTCAAAGGGACTCCTAACCCTAACCCTAATCAGAGCTCACAGAAGTCCTGTTTTATATTAACCTCACAGAGAAAAACTAAGACTTGGAGAAGGCTCCGTATCAGAGTCAGCCAGACCGTAAAGTGGTATGATGATTAACAGCTTTTAAGGCTGCTTTTTCTGCTGCTCCTGTGAACTTTGGCCACATTATTGTTTGATAATGCTTCTGTGGTAAAAGGAAATAAATCTCCTGGGATGTAGGTCAAACTGACTGGTGCTAAAATGGGAGGGATCCCCACATGGAGTCTTTCCTCTGACCTGGGGTTTGTGGGAGGAAAAACCAACCCCATCACCACTAGGGTACCGATACCGATACTCAGGAAAATATTCGATACTCAATACCATTTTTGATACCACAAGGATAAAAACAAAGACCCCAAAATTTAACAGGATTTTGACAGGTTAGTGTCTTTGGTTTCAAACTGACCTGTTACTAATGTTATGGTGGCCCACATTAATGACCCTAACCCTGACCCTTTATAATTGTGAGAAATAAATATTTTTTGGTTAAACTTGTTTGGACTTATTGTACAAACCTATTTAAGATACACTATTTTAATAATCCATAATAATAATAATATTATGGATAGAGTTTAATTCAGTGTTTGCAATAAATTTTAAATTAATCTCTATATTGCCATGAATCAATTACCATTTTCTTGCCTGGGATCTTCCTATTGCTGACCTAATCAAAATGGCCGACCTGGATGTGGGGGGTTGGATCTCCATCCTTGGCTTCCTGCAGTTCTTGATTAATGTTGGCGTGTTGTTATTAGCCATTAGCCGCATCTAGCAATTCATGGCTAACGTCACGTTAATTATAATAAACAACGTAAATAAATAAATCAGAGTATCCGGATACAACGTTTTAGCATCCATCCTTCTGACCCCCCTGACCACACTCACCCACAGCTTGCTCTCGTAGTAGAAGGCGTCGAGCAGCTTGACGATGTTTGGGTGGTCGCAGGAGGCCAGGATGTCGATCTCCACCATGTAGTCCTCCAGCTCCTCCTCCGTCTTCGTGTCGATGACTTTGGCCGCCGCCAGGATGCCGCTCAGCTTGTTCTGGGCCTGGAGGTGGAAACATGGAGGGCAGGGTTAAACCTCCAAGACTTGCTTTATTCTGGGTCATTAAGGTGCCGTTTTAATGGGGCTGGGACAGATGAAACCCTCTGTGTGAGCAGGACGTGTGACAGGTCTCGTTAAAGTGGAAATTCCTCCGGGTTGTTTGGTTTTTTGCAGACAGGAAGTGTTGGAGAGATTTAGGATGCAGCCACTTCCTGGTGAGTTGTTCCACCCTCTGTTCAGACCCATAAAGGCCCGAAACCTGGTTCAGATAGAGCCTCATGGTGTGGGCTGTTGCTGGTGATACGGACTAGGGACATCCACATCCAGCTTTTTGATCCGATCCCGGCCTATCAGAGCATGTCTTAAAGTCTAAAGTTATTTATCTACTTACTTAGTTGTCAGACTCATGTTGAACAGGGATTTACTCTGATAACAACTTAATGGTTAGGACACAGACCTGTGGTTACAGATGCTAATGCTAATGTGGGATTGGACTTTAGCCCACAAACATCTTTAATCAATGCTAAAATATTAAACTGTCTAATCTTTATTTTTCTAATTTTTCATATTTATATTGGAACTAAATCCTTTTTGGTTTTGGACTTGAAACAAAACCAAGCTTATAACCAGATAAATGTGAGTTTTCCCCCTAATGGATACAAAGATACACAATAAAGACATTATTATTAATAATAACTCATCAGTAATGAGCTGCAAAATGTTTGTTTTTAGGGTTTTACCCCCCAAAAAAGACTTCTTCTACTGGCCTGTTCACATTTGGCACCAAAAGACTAAACTTAGAAGAGAGGGTTTGAACTAAAGTTTAGGTTCAACTATTAAAAATGGCAACAATAACAAACATTTATTAGAAACATTTCAGAACATTCAGGCTTCCTGAAACTGAAATAAAACATGTGGGCTTTTTCTAAAAGTATAATTAGTTAGTAGTAAAGATCACAAAGCTTAATAAACAGATTTTTGTAAACACTGAAACAGTTTGTTAGAAGTTTAGCTTTGGATAAAGAGGCAGTGGAGGAAAGTTGGGGTTCAGGACTGAGAGTTAGTGATCAATATGCAAATACAAGGAGAGGCAGAGCAGTCAGGAAGAGAAAGGAAAGGCTCCATTATTCAGATTTGTATTTTATTATTTTTTAATAAAATCATAGTGTCTGTTCAGTTAGTAAATCCTCTTAAACGGAGACATTTATTTATTCAACCAAAACCCCCACAGCCTCCATCAGAGGAGTTCCTGCTGGTCCTGATGCTGCACAGGCAGCCCAGACCACCATCCCTCCCCCGCCGTGCCCACAGCTGCTGTCAGGAGTAAGCACTCCTGTTTGGCCCGTTTCTGACCCTGCTGTCCTGACCTTTGACCCCTCAGACTGACGGGCAGCAGCAGCTGCTTCTCTCAGGTCGTTCTGGTGTCTTTCCTCCTGGACGTTAGCACACAGCTGGATGCTAACGGAGCTAACATCTCAATCTCACTGAGGACCAACAATCAGAGCTCTGACAGCCTCAAATCAGACCCAACTTTTTTAGTTTTGATTCAGATATTGTTTAACTACATTTCAAGACCTTTAAATGACACTTTTTCAAACTTAGGGACTGAATGAAGAGGTACTTCAACCTGATGTTTTTGTTTATTAGGCAGCATTGACAGAAAAGGCCTAACTGGGACCCCTCTAATAATGATGACAGGGCTAAATGTTGCCTAATTTTTAACTAAAACGACTATGACACATTGGAAGACAGAGAAAAACACATGGGATTAAGCTCAATACATACCTTAAAGACTTTTCCAAAGGCTCCATCTCCCAGTTCACCGATTATTTCCCATACTTCCTCTGGATTTTCATCCCTGCGGACGTTTTCGTATTGTTTCTTCTTCTTATCCACTCCCAATTTGAATATTTTACGGAAATTAAAAAACGACATCGTGCCTTCTGGGTCATTCAATTAGAAATTTCCTTTCACAAAATCCCCCTGGAGGTAATTACTTATTTATCCGCATAAGTTACGAGGTGACACATGCACAGATAGTTATAAATACCCGTCCAGAGGCAGCTCTCATAACTCGGATCAGGACCTAGCTTAGCCTTTGACACGGGTCTGACCAGTCCACCGGGGAGCTCCACCACACATAGTGGCCCCTGTTAAACCCTAAAACAACTATTACCGATCAACCCCACCGACTTTGAGTGTTTTAAAAGCGTCTAAACGAGGTTTTCCTCCAGAGAAGTGGGCGCTAACGGTCGTTGTTCCAACTCCTT